TACAGCAAACTGACAGGTGGGAAAGCCTCAGTAAGACGGATGGACACAATAGCTGCCATGATGGACTAAAACATACCAACAATCTCGAAGGCATCACAGGACCAGGCAGCATTTTGCTCTGTTAGACATGAGGTCAACAAGAGTTGGAGCTGACTTGAAGGCAACTAAAATAACATAGTTTTTGAATAGCAAGACTTCCAGCAAGGTGGTGGAATCGGCAGACAAGCTATAAAGACCCTCTACAACAAAAAATGAGAAACCAGTTGAAACAGATACAAACTGAAAAGAAGGAATAAATACAGTAGGTAGAGACTTACAAATGGAGAGGAAGTCAAGCTGATTTCACAATAAAACAGACCATTTTAAACTTGGGATTAAAATAGTAGTCACAAGGTAACTGCAAAGAAAATGTATAAACCATCTCATTAGAATAAAAAACAGAAAAGGCACAAATACTTAGCAAACACTAAAACAATAGTAACAAAAGAAATGGTAAGAAAAAACTGATAAACAAAATGAGTTCGGCACAGAAGATTATAAGGAACAAAGAAATAAGCAACACCACAAAAAACACATAACAAAATGATAGTGATAAATTCATACTGGCTGATAATTACACTGAATATCAATGGATTAAATGTACCAGTCAAGAGACAGAGGACTACAGACTGGATAAGAAAATATGACCCACCAATATGCTGTCTATAAGAGATATATCTTAGACACAAAGACAAAAATAGATTAAACATCAAAGGCTGGAAAAAAATAAATCATCACGCAAATGGTAATCAAAAGAGAGCAGAAGTGGCAACATTAATTTCTGATAAAACACACTGTAAGACAAAAACGGCCATAAGACACAAGGGCATTTTACAATGATTAAAAGATCACAGCGGACATAATGATAATAAATATGTATACAAAAAAAAAAAGAAAAAAGGAGAAGACACAAATAAGAAATAAAACAGGCAACTTCATGATAGAATCAACTAAAATGAAAAGGATAATATCAAGATACTATGAAGAACTGTATTCCAACAAATTTGAAAACCTACAAGAAATGGACAGATTTCTAAAAACATACTAATTACCTAAACCAACAGACTGAGGTTGAAAATTTGAATGGACCCATAACAAAAGAAGAAACAGGTCATAAAAAAAGATACCAAGAAAAAAAAGTTCTGGTTCAGAGAGCTCCACTGGAGAGTTCTACCAAACATTCAGAGAAGAACTGATACCAATCCTACTCAAACTATTCCAAAACATACATAAGGATGGAATCCTCTCATATTCATTTTATGAAGCAAGCATAACCCTGATACCAATACCAGGCAAAGACACCACTAGAAAGAAAAACTACCGACCAATATCCCTCATGAATACAGACTTAAAAATCGTCAACAAAATCCTAGCCCACTGGCTCTAACAACATATCAAAAAAATTATACATCATGACCAAGTGAGAGTCCTTCTGGCTATGCAAGGGTGGTTTAATACCAGAAAAACAATCAGTATAATCCATCACATAAGGAAAAGAACCATATAATTCTATCAATAGATGCAGAGAAGTTGTTGTTGTTGTTAGGTGCCATCGAGTCATCTCTGACTCACAGTGACCTTATGTACAAGAGAACGAAACACTGCCCACTCCTGTTCCATCCTCATGATCCCTGCTATACCTGAGCCCATCATTGTAGCCACTGCATCAATCCATCTCATTTAGGGCCTTCCCCTTTTTCACTGACCCTCCACTTTACCAAGCATGATATTCTTCTCCACAGAATGGTCCCTTCTGACAACATGACCATCTCTACATCAAAAAGACAAACAATCCAATTCAAAAAAGGGCAGATGACATGACTAGACACTTCATCTAAGAAGATATTCAGGCATCCAACAAATTCATGAAGAAATGTTTGCAATCATTAGCCAATAAAGAGATGCAAATCAAAACAACAATGAGATAGCATTTCACCCCAACACTAATAGCAAAGTTCAGTAAGACAGAAAATAACAAATGCTAGCAAGGGTGTGGAGAGATTGGAACTCTCATACACTGCTGATGGAACTGTAAAATAGTACAACCACTGTGGAAAATGGTAGGGTGTTTCCTTAAAAGGTTGGAAATAAAAATACCATTTGAACCCGTAATCCCACTACTAGTCATATATCCTAAAGAAGTGAGAGCCAGGGTATGAAAAAATATATGCACACCCATGTCTCCATCACAACATTATTCACAATAGCAAAGAGATGGAAACAACCTAAGTACCCATCAACATGTGAATGGATAACAAAATTAGGGTACACACACACACATAATGGAATACTATGCAACACTAAAGAATAATGACAAATCCATGAAACTCTTCATAACCTGGATGAACCTGGAGGACATTATACTGACTGAAATAAGTCAATCAGAGAAAGACAAATATTGTATGAATCCACTACTGTCAAAAGTCAAGGAAAGGTTTATACATGGAAGGAAGCTTACTTTGATGGTTACCAAAGATAGGAGGGGAAGGAAGAGGAGGGAAAATTGTTAGCTAGGTAACAGACACATATTGATTTGGTTGAAAGAAAAGGCAATACACCAAAAGTCAGTGACTAGCATAATAACACACAAGAGAGGTACAGACAACCAAAGGAAATACTTTTACACACATAATACTGCATTATCAGTAGTAACAAGCATTAATCTACAGGTGGATACACAGGTAGACAGGCCAAATGATCAGGTATGAGTAGGTAAAAGGGAATATACCCATGACCATTGTTCTGGTTACCTAGTGCCACTCTGACAGGAATATACCACAAATGGGATGGCTTTAACAAACAGGAGTTTAGTCTCACAATTTGAAGGCTTTAAGTCTCAGTTCAAAGTGCCAGGCTCTAGGGGCTGGGTGAAAGCCCCTCAATCTTGGTCTTTACCTCTGCCTCCTGCTCCCAGCCCACTGAAGCTAATGGTTTTTCTTCACTCGGCTCCTGGCTACTGAGGCTGACAAACCCAAGGTCAACGAGCACAGTCCCACTATCACCAAGCCACATGGCAGGTCACTGATTCAAGTCCATTAAAAGTCCCAAGATCAGGACAGTACGGCAGGCTGTTGAACAATGACTCAGCTACATGCAGGGTTCAAGTGTGCAATAAGCTTACAGACCATTTCCAAAGTTGTTGCTTTTTATGGGAAGTAGACCACATCCCTCAAGCAACTACTCAGCTGCTTGTGGTAGGTCCCACCATGGAGTTGATTGACAGTCTCATCATGGGGAATAACTACCATCAGCTGCCCAGCCACTCAACCAGGCCCAGCCAAGTTGACACACAACCTTAACTACCACAACCATCGAAAGGTTTGGCAGATATTTCTACATAAATAGTCATATGTGCTAATAATGTCCACTGACATACAGAGGTAACAGGGGGCCGAGTTATGATAACTTGCTATCTACAACCAAACACCTTGTGGGAGTGAGTTGTAGGCTCAGGTCCATGGTCATGGGGGACATCAAACTCAACTGGCATAGCATACTACACAAGAACACTGTTCTATATCCTACTACGGTGGGTAGCAACTAGGGTCTTAAAAGCTCATGAGCAGCCACCTAAGATGCAACAATTGGCCTCCCCTCATCTGGGCAAAAGAAAAGTCAAGAAAATCAAAGACTCATGGAAACAATTAGTCCAAGGGACTGGGTACTTTAGCCTACGTGACCCTGAGACCAGAAAAGCCAAATGATGCCCAGCTACCATTGCCAACAACTCAGAAAGGGATTGAAATTGAGATCCTGGATAGAGTAGGAGGAAAATGTGGAAAGCACTCAAAATCATAAAAAAAAAAAAAAAAAAAAGGTCAGACTTCCTAGTCTGACAGTCTGGTGAAACCCCTGAAACTATGGCCCCTGATCACCCTTCAGGCCTGGAACTGAACTCACTCCTGTGGCTTCACTTCCAGGCAAACAAAAGACAGGTCTAAGAGGTGAACAACACCAAGGAGGTGCACTTAGACATCAACTATGGGAGATCAGAAGGGCAGCATTTACGCAGGGAGAAAGCTCAGAGAGCAGAAATGAACAGGAAAGAAGGACACAGGGAAACGGTAAGCACATGGAGGAAGTAGGGAGGAAGAGAGCTGTTACACTGTGAGGGTTGCAATCAATGTCACAAAACAAAATATGTATGAACTTTTGAATAGAAAATGAATTTGCTCTGTAAACTTTCACCCAAATCACACACAAAAAAAGGCAAATATCTTTGTCCTCCCTGCCAAAAAAAAAAACAGTTTTGTGTAACATGAACACATCACAATGTATTCTTCTTCCATTAGTGGATGCTGGGGCTGCCCCTATATGTCATTATTTTAAACTACATTGCAGTGAATGTTATCATAAATGCTTCTTTATGCAAATGGGCTTATGCTTTTAACTAAACATTTTAAACTGCCTAACAGTCCTTATCAACAGAAAAGCGAACTTTGTAACTATTCAAGAACAGAACTGATCATTTATCTGAGCTCATCAAAGATAAGGAGAATTTATTTTGACATACAAGACAAACTACATTTCAACACTTTGAAAGTGCATTGCATTTTACCCTTTTCAACCTATAATCTCATTATATCAGACTAAACATGAGTACAATTCTACCCTGGGCCAGCTCTGTCAATAATTTTACAAAAGGAAAATAATTAATTTCTGACTGGATTTAAACTAATTCTTAAGTAAACAGAAAGGTTAACCATAATATAATTAGTGACGCTATTTATCTCCACATTTGTCCCACGTACCATCATTCAGCTATCAATTCTTTTTCTAAGTAAGTTTATTGAGAAATTTACTAACCATATTTATTCACTTGTGTCTGGAGAAAGTGCTGCCAGGAAGACAGGTGACAGCAACTCTCCAAGACCCTGCTAATCCCAGCTGAGTGTGAGACAGTTTTCAAATCTGATTCAGGTGTAATGTGAAGAAATACCATTAAAGATCGGTAAACTTACCTTACAAAAGCCCTTTTTAATTGTACTGAAATCAGGCAAAACATAGTCTATCATTACTGTATTTTCTTCTCCTTTCAACCTAGAAAACAAAATAGAGATTTAGGACATATTTTAACTATGTGTAACATCACCCAAGAATAAACTTTCCAATTCTTAGATTACTATTATACATACTTTGCAATATCCATGTCTCTATAAAAATCCTGGGATACATAGCATACATCTTCTTTTACTTGATTAATCACATGTGTTTCATCCATAACATGTAGTTGCCTAAATAGAAATAAAAATTGTAAAATTTGAAATGGGAAAAATTTAAATATAACTTCCAATAAGTCTTAAAATATTTTAAATTAAAATGTCAGGTAACTTGATTTTTTAAAAAATTAAACTCTTGAATGTGTAAAACGTATTAACTTTACAAAGTATATATTTTCACTTTCATTATCATATTTATGCCCAACATTATTCCTCTTAAGGCAGGTATTAGTCTAGTTTGCAGGTAAGGATACTGAAAACAAAGCTGGTTTGGTGAATAGTAACTACAGTCTTAAAAGCTTGTAAGCAGCCATATGGGGGTGCAACTATAGGTTTCTCCCCATTTGGAGCAAAGAAGGGTGAAGAAAATCAAAGATGCGAAGAAACAATCAGTCCAAAGGACTAATGGTTCAGGTGAACCCCAGCTTCCATGACCCTGAAACCAGAAGTAGACGGTGCCCAGCAACTACTGCTGACCACACCGAAAGGGATCACAGAAGGAGGTCCTGGATAGAGTGAGCGAAAGAAACATGGAACAAAACTCAAAATCATAAAAAAGGCAAGGCTTACTGGTCTGATAGAGACTGACAGAACCCTTGAGACTATGGCCATTAGATACTCTTCAAGCTTAGAACTGAACTCACCCCTGTGGCCCAACTTTTCAGCCAAACAATAGAAAGGCCTATAAGATGAACAGTAACACCATGGAGGTACGCCCTCATTAGATCCATATGATATCAAAAAAGCAGCATTTTTTTTTTTTGAAAGCTCAGAAGGTGAGAAGGGATAGGAAAAAAGGACAAAGGGAAATGGTAAACACAGGCAGGAAGCAGGAAGAATGCCGCTTCATTGTGGGGACTGCAATCAATGTCACAGAACAAAATGGGTGTGAATTCTTGAATGAGAAACCAATTTGCTCTGTAAACTTTCACCCAAAGCACAATAAATAAATAAAAATTTTAAAAACAAAGATATTCCAAGCATGCAGCCTGAACACAGAGGAAAAATGGATTAGAGATGTATTAGAAAGTTAATAAAATATCGAGCTATTTTCCTGGAGGAAAAAAGAAAACAACTGTTAAATCTCTTTCAAAATAATGCGTATCTGACTAAAGAGCAAACCACCCCCCAACCACTCTGAATAGAATCTTTCTAAAAGGGCTTAACTTTTCATACTTTTTTAAAAAAAGATTTTCATTGTTTTGCTTATGTAAAACCAAACTCACTGCCGTCGAGTAGATCCCAACTCACAGTGACCCCTCTTTGGGTTTCCGAAGTAGTACCTCTATGAAAGTAGATTGCCCAGTCTTCCTTCAGGAAAATAGCTCGATACTTCTGGTTAGCAGTGAAGTGCCCTAGCAGATGTTTATATATATTTACGTATATATAAATATATACGTGTGTGTGTGTGTGTGTGTGTGTGAGACTCATATGCACTTTCTTTTCTGATTATCAAAATACTTTGAGTCAGCACACAGTACGGCACAAGAGCAGATGTTTATTAAATACTTGATGAATGAATCAAAGAAAACATGGGTTTTACTGTTGAAAGTAAAGATGTAGAAAGAAATAAGCAAAAACGTGTGGTTTTTTTTGAATATTTTCCTCTGAACTTATATTTTACTACATCCTATATATTATTATGTATTTTTTTTAATATCTTAAACAAAACATTACCTCATGAACATTTTTGTATGCTATTTCATATTATTTAAAACTAGGATTTTTTTACTGCCTTATAATATTCAATCAGACAGGTCTATTAAGATGTATTTACCAATCTTCTGATGCTGGAAAATCAGAGGAAATATACTGGTGTATTTAGAAACATGTGCTTTGGAATAAGAGACCTAGGTTTGAGTTACAACTTATCTTTCTCCTTGGGACATAATCTTTTCAACTCTAGAAAGGTACTAAGACATAATCTTTGCAACCTACTTATCAGAGGTGTAAGAATTATTCTTATGATACATGTAAAGGGTTTTTCATAGTCTCTGTACTCAATAAATAAAAAACATTATTACTGCTTCTATCTTTTTGCCTCTGGAGTAACAAATATCTTCATGTTTACTATATTTCATCTTCTCTAAAATGCGCCACTGTATCAATGAGAAGAAAAGGTTTGTTTCTCAGGTTTCTCTGTTAACCTATGACATAACTCTTAAGATACCATTAATTGGAAGATTCAGTTTAGATGCAAACATGTGACCAAGTGCAGCCGAGAATTGATGAAATACAGTATCTTTGTCTATACTTCTGATCTTTTTATTATTAAGTCATACTATGGACATAGAATAGAAATATTTTTAAGTTTCTTGGTATATTGTCAAACTGTTTACCAGAAAGGGCCTATCAAATGATGTGCCAATCAACAGTGAACAAGAATGCACACATCACAAATCTTCAAGAGCAAAAATCTTAACAACAACAACAACAAAAATTCTATTAATTTGTATTGTAAAAATGGTATTTTAATTTGCATTTATTCTATCAGGAAATAAGTGGCATAAGGAGAGGAATTCTTGCCTGTTTTGTTTACTGACGTTCCATAATCTCCTAAATACTTGTTTAATAAATATCTGCTAAATTGAATCGATGACTGTTACAGGTAGGTGTTCAACATTTATGCCTGAGAATGATCCACTTACATCCTTGGATTGTATGTAACTTGTAAGAATTATTATCTATTTGTGCCACTGACCATTTGTTTTCTGAAAATTTTCTAACCATTTCATACTGGGATAGTGTTTTTCTTATGGCTTGATAAGATATTTTTTGAAGATAACAACCCTGTGTCATGTTCATTTATAAACTACATATGTTTATATTCTAAACAAAATATTATCTCATAAACATTTTCTTACGCTATTGCATATTCTGTCATATTTCTTTCAGGTTTATTTCTCAGGTTTATGTTTGACTTCATTTTGTTTACAAAGGTTTGTGATACATATAGCTTTAAAGTTTTTAGTAAAATATATCATTTTTTATGTCTTATTTCTTCAACTGCTTTTATGCTTAACAATTCAGTTAAGTATTTCCTTCTTAAGATTTTATTTTTACATTTTAGTCTTAAATTGATTTTAGTGTACAAGACAAATTAAATTTTTAATATGATTTTTCTCCAAACAGCCAACTTGCCCTGTATCCTTTCTTAAGTAAGTTATTTTCTTCCCCCATTGGTTTCTGATGTTTTCTTTCACATATATTATTTTTGCTTTACATATGATGTTTGATTCAGGATTAGTTACTCAGTATCACGAATCTGTCAGTTAATTCTCAGACTCCAAAACCAAAGCTACTGCCACTGAGTCAATGCCAACTCATAGCAAGCCCCATTGGGTTTCCAAGGCTATAAATAAATCTTTATGGAACTAGATTGCCTCATTTTCCTCCTGTGGAGCAGCTGGTGGGCTTGAACTGCTAGCCTTCTGGTTAGCAGTAAAATGCCTTACCCACTACACCACCAGAGCTCCTTAATTCTTACAAATTATTGCTGTTAGGTGCTGTCAAGTCGGTTCTAACTCATACCGACTAATAATAATAATATAGATATAGATGTACAGAAATATATATATGAACCACACTCACTGCCGTTGTGTCGTTATATATATTTTTTTAATTCACCATGGAGGAGAGATACTGCATACAAGCTCGGCAACCAAAATGCCTGGGATCTGACTATTGACCATATCTGTCTCAATCTTCTCTCCATTTCCAATTTGCTGCTTTTAATCTGATTGGGCTGAGGTGCTAAGGGTAAAAACTCATTGAAACTAAGCCCACTTCTACTGGGTTCTGCAATTAATACCATTCACATAATCAAAATATAGTACGTGATTTTTTATTAGCTTTTTATTTTTAGAATTAATCTGTAAGCAAGGCAAGAAAGATTTAACTATACTTAAAAACATAGCATGTAAATGTTCTAAACCTCAATAACTCAAAAGTAGCAGTACAGCACTATGTTTAATGAACAGTCTGTCCCTGAGCATACATACTACATGAGTCCATTTCTGTAACACTCTTGAAATGACATACAGCATAGAGAGGAGCAAAAGGATGCTGACAGTACCATATTGTCCAAAGTTAATGTGGCAAGAAATTGAGATTTAAAAACCTATTTATAATTTTAAACACAACAGAACTAAAAATAATAACATAAAATGTAAGAGGCAGAAGAGTGGGAGGTGGCTAAGTGCACTAAATTCTTCTTCTTTAGTGGACAGTCAGCTAATATTGGCTAATCAAAAAACAAATATCAACATATTTGATTAAGGCTTATAGAAATAAAAAAAATACAGATACACTTCAAATATACTCTCTGTGAAGCATAACTGAAGTGAGAGACAGAGAGAAGGGGAGATTATTCTCCTTTTAAGCTCTCGTTTCCTTCCATGCATTTTGAATTTGTTTCACCATATACAATATTTATAATTTTAAATAAATTAAATTAAACATCCCCAAATAATTAGTGAAATGCTAATTATTTCAGAATTCAACCAATTTAAATATTTCACACCTGTTTTTAGTATCTAGAATTTGGAACACACTTTTTGGTAATTAATAAAAATTTTACACACTAGAAAACTTTCTAATTTGGTCATCATTAGTATTTAACATGTAATATAAAACTGCCTCCTGCAGGTAGAACTAAAGGTAACAAATAATTGTAATTGCTTTAAAAAGTACATCCTCAAAGCATAGAGAGGTACATGGAAGGTACAGAAAACACGCATTGTCAGTGAAGGCAAACATTGATATACAGGTGGATAGATAGGTAGACAGGTGAACTATTAGGCATGTCTATGCAAGGGGGAGTGTGCCCAAGACCATGTATAGTGTTGGCAGCCAATGTTTCTACAAGTGCTTTGCTACGTTCTGTAAGAATTCCCAGATGTACAGTACAGCTGACAAGGGACAAGGTTGTAGTCACTTCCTAGGCACAGCCAGCTACCCAGAGGAAGTGAGTAGTTGGACCTGTGGGCTCGGGACCATAGTTGCAGGGACATTGAGCTCAACTGGCATAACATACTACACAAAACATTGTTCCACACCCTACTTTGGCGAGTAGCGACTAGGATCTTAAAAGCTTGCAAGCAGCCATCTAGATGCAATGATGGGTCTCTCCCTGTCCAGAGGAAAGAAGAATGAAGAAAACCAAAGATTCACAGAAACAATTAGTCCAAGCAACTGTTATACCATGTATCCTCAGCCTATACAACAACTGAGACCAGAAGAACTAGATGGTGCCCGGCTACCACTGTCAACCACTCAGAAGAGGATCTATGTAGGAGATCCTGGATAGAGAGGGAGAACAAAGTGGAACAAAACTCAAGATCATTTGGGAAAAAAAAAAAGGGGGGGACGACCAGGTTTGCTGGTCTCATAGAGCCCGATGGAACCACTGAAACTATGGTCCCTAGCTGCCCTTCAGGTCTGGAACTGAGCCCACTTTTGTGGCTTCCAGCCAAACAAAAGACAGGCATATGAGGTAAACATTTACCCTAGGCAGATACACTCCTTGGAGAGACCAATCATGGGAGAATAGAAGGGCTGTGTATGCACAGGGAGACAGCTCAGGGGGCAGGAGTGCATGGAGGGAAGATCACAGGGAAGAGGTAACTATGGGGAGGAAGAGGGAGGGGAGCTGTTGCATTGTGGGAAATTACAGTCAATGTCATGAGACAAAGTGTATGTGAGCTGCTGTATGGAAAGTGAATTTGCTCTGTAAACTTTCACCCAAATCACAATTAAAAAAAAAAAGCATACCCTCAGCAACCCTCCTCTCAAAGAATCAAAACTGAGGTCAACTTTACCTGTAAGAGATGATCTCCTTTAGATGATTTGTTAAGAGTTTTCCTCCCACATTTATCCTAAAAAAGAAGAATCCACATATGGTTCAGTTATCACATATTTACTCATCCTCACTCTAAGAAACATCATACAAATTAAATGCAACTTACCGAATAATTGCTTCTTTTTTCTTTTTACTTCTACAATAAGGAACAATATGTGTAAAAGAATATCCACTATCTACAATGATGCAGCATAATTCAGAAGGATTATCTCGGAAATACCTATGTGCGCTGAGAGCCCCAGCTACAAAAAAAAAAAAGAGAGAACATTACATTAAATAAATGTATAACATTAATGTAAAGCAATAAAAAAATAAACACAAAGACCAAAATTTTCCCTTTTATTAAAAAAAGTTAAAGTAATAGCAATTAACTGTGTCACAAAATATTTGCAGTGTTTAAACTTTAGAGCATCACACTTATGTGGTAAATAGGATGAAAAGAGTAATATTTTTATAATATTTTTAAAGGTATTTTTTTTCATTTCACAGGCAGTAATTCTTACAACAAAGGCTAATTTTCAATATTTATTACATGGCTGGCTCTATTCTACTCTACATGTTGAGTGGGTGTTTTAATCCTCACAATCCCGTTTTGCAGATGAGGAAACTGAAGTACAGAGAAGTTACACATCCACGGTCACATGGTTAGGAAGGAGCAGAGCCAGAATTCCAGCCTAAGCAGGTGGCTCCAGAGCCGGGTTTCTCAACCTTAGTACTGACATTTTACGTTAGACATTCTTTGCTGTGCACTGTCCTACCCACTGGAGAACACCTACCAGCCTGTCTGACCTCTACCCATTAAAACCTAACTCACTGCCATCGAGTTGTTTCTGACTCATGGCAACCTCCATTGAGTTTCCAAGGCTGAGGCTGTAAATCTTTATGGAAGCAGATCGCCCAGTCTTCCTTCTGCAGAGCAGCTAGTAGGTTTGAACCGCTGACTGTCCAGTTTGCAGTCAAGTCCCTTATCTACTACACCACCAGAGCTCCTTTCTATCCACTAGATGCCAGTAATCCTCTCTGTTATGACCACCAACAATGTCTCTGGGCAGCAAAATTACCCACCACTGAGAATCACTATTCTACAGACTGAGCTGTTAACCATCTATTATATTCTCTGTTCTACAGACACATTTTCTTCAAGCCAAATACTTGAATACTGATTATTTTTCACAAAACACAAAGTAAAATTTCATTGTACATAATCATGCAATGAAGTGCTCACCTTTAATAAACTTGTTTAGATGATATTTCACCAACAATCTTTCAGAGATTAGAAATATACTGCTAGTAACTTGACCAGTCCCTGGAGAAGGATACCATGCTTGGTAAAGTGGAGGGTTAGAGAAAAAGGGGAAGACCCCCCAATGAGATGGATTCACACAGTGGCTTCAACAGTGAGCTCAAGCATAGCCAGGAGTTTGAGGATGGCACAGGAGTCTCATTCTGCTGTGTACAAGGTCACTATGAGTCAGAATCCACTCAACAGCACTTCACAATCTTTAATCAAGGAGCTCTGGTGGCACAGTGGTTAAAGTAAAACAAAAGGTTAGCAGTTTGAACCCACAAGCTGCCCCACAGCAGAAAAATGAGGCAGTCTTCCATAAAGATTTATAGGCGATGGGGTCGTTCTACTCTGACCTACAGAGATGCTGGGAGTCAAAATTGACTCAATGGCAGTGGCTATCATATTAATCAAAATATTTCCTGAGAAGAGTCTAGTAACGATCCCTAGCTTAAAATTCTATATTTTATTTCTTTCATATACAAAAGAATGTCACTCAGTATTCTAGGATTTTAAGCGTCTTTGAGCTCTGGTGGCATAGTGCTTAAGGCATTTGACTGCTAACCAGAAGGCTGGAGGTTCAAACCCACGAGCCACTGCTCAGAAGGAAGACTGGGCAACCTACTTCTGTAGAGACACCGCCTCAGAAACCCAAGGAGGGGTCGCTATGAGTTGGGTTTGACTTGACAGCAGTGAGTTTGTTTTTTTTTTTTGGTTTATCCTATTCACATTCATGGGAGTTCTGACAGTGTGGTGCCTAAGGCATTTGACAGCTAACCAGAAGGCTGGTGGTTCAAACCACCAGCCACTCCTCAGAAGGAAGATGGGGCAATCTACTTCCATAGTGATACTGCCTCAGAAACCCAAGGAGTTGTCGCTGTGAGTCAGGTCCAACTCGAGGGCACATAACAACAACAAGAAGAACAACAACAACATGTAACTCAAACCTAAACCACACCATTTACTCTTAATACAGCTTGGAACTGGTATTCTTCAAACAAGATTTCATTCATTGATTCCTGAATTGAGGTGAAGTTAAAATATGGTTCTGTGATGATAATGTTAGTATCTAAAAAGTCAACCTATGGGAGGAAAAGAAAACATTGTAACTTGTACACATAATTATAAAAACTAGTTATATAAATATATCAATTTATTTAATACTCACAATAGTCCTATGAAATAAGTCTTATTATTATGTTCATTTAACAGATGAGCAAACTGAGACACAAAAGGTTGCATTAGTTACTGGTTCATAAAGGTAGTTAGTGACTTATATAGCTAAGATTTGAATGCAGGGAGTCTAGTTATAGAATCCATGCACTTGACTATTGCATAATTTTATCTCTCATAATGGCAGCATTAATAAAATGGTACTGTAAAATTGTTTAAAGATAACTGTGCAAAAGTAATGAATAACATGTATACATATATTAGAGCAGTTGTTTTTAAAAGGAAAAATGTGAGAAGCTTTAGAACGTTTAAAGTTCACATAATTCTCTCCCATACCTCTTAAGAAACAGTACAATTTGAATGTTCTCTCAGTATACCCATAGTCACATTAGACATTAAAAGCACAAATTCTTTTTGTAATATCACATGTTCAGATATGTAAACATGTTATTATGAAAATAAAAATGAGATAGAAATCTGAAGTGTAATTTTAATCTTGAGTTGCATATTGGCTTTCTCTACTCAACCTACATTTCACTTTAGAATAGAAATTCTATTCACTTACATTTATTTAATATTTAGAAAATCAAAGCTAGCTACTGTAGAATTATAGTGATTTAAATATATACTGGGAATATATCCCTGAGTCTCTAAGTCTTAAAACATAAGTTCTCATTTCTCATTTGAGTAAGACATGGAAACAGAACTTGAATACATACTCTAATCTGTTACCTGATACATTTCTTTTCCAAAAAGGTAATCCCAAACTTGTCTTTGAACATCCCAGTTCACCAAGTAGCCCTAAAAAAAATTACAAATTATCAAAAATACTTAAATACTTATTTAAAAAACAGATTAATATACTGCAAATCATCAATTTCCATCTCTTTATGATTACCTTCTCTAGTCTAATGCAGTAAGACTTCCAAATAATCATATTGGTATGCTTTTCTTCTTTTTTTTTTTTTTTTATTAGGATTTGGGTGAAGATTTACAGAGTAAATTCACTTTTCATACAGCAGTTCACATATACTTTGTCTC